TTAAATTTATTTCTCAGAATTTTATAATTTCACACCTAACAATTGATACTTACTAGCCCTACTCTGATACTGGCTTTTCAGTACTACACTTTACCCAGCCCTTTGGGTTGTGGTGTGCTGGAGCCCCAATTGGATGATGGTGTTATTGCTATTTGGATTGCCATTTTCATGTTTTGTTTATTATTGTTTGTAGGTGTTTATATTGCAGTTTTGTAATCTTGTTGTTGTTAAATGTATTTAAAAAATTAAGCAAAAGCGCTAGAAACATATATTTTAGTCTTACTGGTAGATAAGGAAAAACATAATTTTATATTCCATTCAATTTCTTCCTACCACTTCCTAACCCTGGTGTAGTGGAGATGCCTAGGGCAGTCTCTTGCCCCGTTATCTGGGAATGGTTTGATCCTGTTGCTCTTGAGGAAGTGGACAAGATCCTAGGGAGTGTGAGTGCAACCACCTGTGTTTTAGATCTGTACCCCTCCTCGCTGGTGAAAGCCGCCCAGGATGTGACATGTGGGTGGGTTCTGGCGGTGATTAATGCTTCTCGGGGGGGGGGGTGCCCCAACCTTTTAAGGAGGCTGTGATTCAGTGTCTTCTTAAGAGGCCATCACTAGATCCCACTTCATTGGATAATTTTCGTTCTGTCTCCAATATTCCCTTTTTGGGGAAGGTTGTTAAAAAGGTGGTTGTGCTGCAGCTCCAGAGGTTCTTGGATGAAACCAATTATCTGGACCCTTTTCAGTTGGGATTCAGGCCTGGGTATGGGATGGAAATGGCATTGGTCGTGCTTTTTGATTACCTTTGGCAGGAGCGAGATGGGAGTAGTGCGTCCATCCTTGCTCTACTTGACCTCTTGGCAGCTTTCAATACCATTGACCATGGTGTCCTTCTGGAGCGGCTTTAGGGGTTGGGAGTGGGGGGCACTGTGTTGTCCTGGTTCACTACCTTCCTCAGTGACTGTTCCCAGTCAGTGTTGATAGGGAGTGAGAGGTCTGGCCCTCGGCCCCTGCTTTGTGGGGTTCTGCAGGCTTCAGTACTTTTTCTGCTTCTGTTTAATATCTACATGAGGCTGCTGGATGAGATGATCTGTTGCCATGGGGTGAGATATGATCAGTATGCTGATGGTACTCAGCTGTATATCTCAGCCCATGGTGAGTTAAGCAATGCCATGACCGCCCTCTTGCAGTGCCTGGAGGCTGTTAAGGTCTGGACCGGGAGCAACAGGTTGACACTGAGCCCTGGCAAGACGGAATGGCTCTGGGTTTGGCATTCTCTGGTTCATAGAGAATTGCCATCTATGGTTTTGGATGGGGTTGCACTGCCCAAGATGGACCCGGTGCATAATCTGGGGGTTCTCCTGGACTCGTGACTCCTACTTGAGGAGCAGGTGGCAGTCATGGCCAGGAGGGCCTTAGCGCAACTGCAGGCTGTGTGCCAATTACGCCCTTTCCTGGACCATCAGGCCCTGCTCAGAGTCACCCATGCCCTAGTCACCTCCTGCCTTGACTACTGTAATGTGCTGTATATGGGGCTGCCCTTGAAAAGTATCTGGAAGCTTCAGTTGGTTCAGAATGAGGCAGCCCACATAGTTTTGTGCAAGTCTAGATTTGCACACGTGCAAAGAGTGCACACATTTGCACTCTTGCAGGAGCTGCATTGGCTGCTGATTTGCTTCTGGGTCCAATTCAAGTTGCTGGTTGTCACTTTTAATGCCCTAGATGGCTTGGGGTCAGGTTATTTGAAGGACCGCTTTTTCCCAGTTTCATCTACCCAACCCACCAGATTGGGGAGGCGGGGTATATTATGGGTCCTCCGTTTTAAGGAAATCCATCTAGTGGGATCGAGAGGAAGGGCCTTCATCATGGTGGCTCCTCCCTGTGGAACATCATCCCTGCAGAGATAAGAGTGGCCCCCACTTTGATGGTCTTCCGCAAGGGCCTGAAGACATGGTTTTGCCAGCAGGCTTGGGGATCCCAGGTCAACTTGGACCCCATCAAATGGCTTGTGTAAATGTATTGTTGTCGCCAGGGGGGTGGGGGGGTGGAGTGGGTTTTGTATTGGGATTTTTATTCTTGTAAGCCGCCCAGAGTCAATGTGAGTGAGTTGGGCAGCCATATAAATTGCTTAAATAGATATAAATAAACCCTGCAAGAAGAGTGTGAGAGAACTGTCCTTCCTACCTCTTCCTGTTTCTAAGGGTAAAGGAAAGCAATCAAACTATAAAAGAAACTTCAGTGTCATGATTCATATGTTCCTGAAGCCCAATTGGTAAGATGCTAATTTTCTTATTTATTTATTAGGTTTGTATAGCCACCCATCTCACATATATGATTCTGGATGGCTCACAACAATTTAAAAAAAAACAGCAAGAATAATAAAAATTTAAACATAACAAAGATACAACCATACTAAAACCATTATTAAAACTTGGTTAAATACAAAACAAACACAGCAGTTGAATACAAGCCATACATGTCATTTAGTACAACCATTGAAAAGGCTCACCAGTACTACTACAGTACTACAGCCATGTCTTCAGGGCCCTTCTAAAGGCCAGAAGGGTAGGAACCAGTCTAAGGGTAGGGGCCAGTCTAAGTTCTGAGGGAATGATGTTCCAAGGTGGGCGCCACAGTAGAAAAGATCCTCTTCTTGGATTCCATCAGATGACATTCCTTAGTGGACAGGACCTGTAACATGCCTCTCCTGTCAAATTTGATGGGACTGGTAGATGTAACTGGGGAGAGGCAGTCCCTCAAATATCCTGGTCGCATGCCATGTAGGGCTTTATATGTCATTACCAGGATCTTGAATTGCTCCTGGAAGCACACTGGTAGCCAATGCAGCTTGCTGAGCACAGGTGTAATGTGCGCTGCTCAAGGAGTGCATATAACTGCCTGCACTGTTGCATTTTGCATCAGCTGTAGCTTCCGAATGCTCTTCAAAGGCAGCCCATGTACAGCGCATTACAGTAATCATTCAGGAGGTAACCAGGGCATGAGTCACTGAGAGCAGAACCTCCCAGTCCAGGAAAGATGAACTTATCCACAATATTCTGGGCAAGTTAGTTCATTCATCCTTCTAATTGCTCAAAGACTTGATTCCATACCAAGGCATCCTTTTCATTGCATTGTTTGTGTGGGGGAAGCATTTTCATTTGCAGAGTTTAATAAGGCTGCTATAGGTTTTTTAGACAGAATTTGGAGTGCAAAAACTGACTAAACCTTAATAATGATTTCTACAAAAGTTGGCAGGATCTATTTTTAATGGAATCTGGATATAGTACTCATTTCAACTCATGTCAACTCTGAATAGAGTGCCTCCTATTTTAGCCATACTAGATTTCTGTAATTGGCTAGAAGTGTCAAGTAATTTTCAGTTATGTTAGCCACTGCACAATTTACCTTAGTTTCAGCAATTATTTAGGTTGTTTTGAAATTTAATTTTATCCTTTATAGGGTGAGTAGATTTGTTCAACTTTTCTGTCTTCTGCAGATTCTACATAATCTACTAGCTATTATGGCTGGAAATTATATGTATCTTTTTCAGCTGGAGCATCCAATCAAGTTGAGCAAAGCAGCATAATCGATTAGCATACTACAGTGGGTCAGCATTTAGTGCAATTGTATTGCCCGCGGGCCACATCCGGCCCTCTGGCTCTCCCTGATCAGCCCGCATGAAGTCATTGGTAAATTAAAAGTCAGTGTAAATATATTACAGTAATACGTGCATGCAGTATAACTGCACTCCTTTTATTTTGAAGGAACTGCTAAATTAACAGAGGGAGGGGGAGGGAAGGAGGCGGGGAGGGGCGGGGGGGAGGGCCTGGGTGG